AAAATGAATGAGAAACTGACAGATTAAATGACTTTGGTGAACCTTCAAAAAAAATAAATAAATAAAATAAAGTATTTAAAGCTTTACAAAGAATCTGACGATGACTAGGAAATCCCCAGAAAGATGTCTATTCAGTAACTATAATCGGCTCAGTGGCTCCGAGTCCCAGCAGAATGGCTCCCAGTGCACACTGGGAAGGATGTTCGCTCGTACTCACGTGATCAGGAAGTCACTCTCCAAGACTACACACAGCAGGCTGGTCCTGGAGCAGAGCGCCCGGGCAGCCTCTGTGATCACCTGTTCTGGGGACAGTCAGCCTGCTCTCTCCAGCCTAACTCTTCAGGCCTGTCCCCGTTCTGGATGCAGGACTACTTACTTACACTTAAGTAAAACTGAAGTTTACTTCACAGTAGTAACTTCCTCATCCTTCCCCCAAAGAGTTCACGACCGTGTTTGTTTTTCTTATCCATGTTTTAAAGTTAAGGGTTGGGGCTGGAGCGATGGCTCAGAGGTTAAGAGCACTGACTGCTCTTCCAGAGGTCCTGAGTTCAATTTCCAGCACCCACATGGTGGCTCACAACCATCTGTAATGAGATCTGGTGCCCTCTTCTGTATACATAATAAATAAATCTTAAAAACAAAACAAAACAAACAAACAAAAAAAAACAAAAACTTTCTTTAAAGTTAAGGGTTAAGGGTTGCTGGGCATTGTGGCACCTGCCTTTAATCCCAGTACTGGGGGTGGGGTGGGGTGCAGAGCCAGGCGGATCGCTGTGAGTTCGAGGCCAGCCTGGTCTACAGAGCGAGATCCAGAACTGGCAGCAAAACTACACAGAGAAACCCTGTCTCTAAAAACAAAACAAACAAATGAACAACAACAACAGCAGCAGAAAAAAAAAAAAAAAACAAATAAATAAAACGACAACAAAAAAGTTAATGATTTTAGGTAAAGACAAGCTGCAAGTTATTTCCATTTTTATTAAATGTGTTTTTCTATGGAATATATTACACTTAAATTCACCACCATAAATAAGGACTAATTTTAAAATCTATTTTACTTCTTAAAAATGTAAACATAAAAGGATTCCCTCCCCAGTCCCAACCTAATTTTAAAAAGGAAAAACAAAAACAAAACAAAACAAAACAAACAAACCGTCTTCTCTCCAGCTCAGCCCTTTCTTCAGAAAGAGCAGCACAGACTTTAGCAGAGCCCGTCAGTCCTCCTGGGCTGGGGGCAAAGGTCACGGCAGGGAGATCGAGTGCCTGGCTGTGAGGCTATGAGCGACGTCCATCTCCTCCTGCCAGGACCACTCAGCTGTCCTCGGAGACTGGCTCTTCTCTGTTATCCGGCTTCTAAGTTCACAGCTGGGCAAGGCATGGAACACGGCGTCTGGCTGGAGACCCCGGGAGGCTGAGCAGGGCCAGCAGTGACCTTGTCGAGTGTTAGTCATGAGGCTTTGGAGCTAAAGATTCGGACGGACCATCTAACTGCTTTATACATAGCTGAAATTGGGAAACCTTCTTTTTTCTGGGGCAGTAGGAATAAGACAGTCTCTCTCTCTCTCTGTAGCCCAGCTGGTTTTAAAATCATAATCCTCCTGCCTCTATCTCCCCAGTGCTGGGATTATAGGCATGACCACCGTGCCTGGCTCAATCTGTAAGTCTAATATTGAAGAAACGTTAATAACATTTCGTGGAATACTCTGATATACTTATGTATCTTCCTAAAACTATTTACAACCCATACAGTTATATTATATCTTCAACTCTCAATAAACTCTAGGCCAACTTAGGCTGAAAACTAATGCTAAGCATAATTTATAACGTTTTTAGAACGCTCATTTGGTCTTAGGAATATAAGAATCTTATGGGAAAAATGTAAGGATTACTGGAAGGATGTTCTGCAGACTATCAGAGGAGTCGACACACAGACTATCAAATGCTGTCCAGCGCCTTTCCTGCCCGGCTCAAGGCTCCTCACATGGCTTTGCTTCCTTCCTTCCGGTAAGTTCTGAGAAAACCTGAGACAACTCACTTGGTATGTTTGACACCTAGGGCCTTAAAATACTTACAGTGACCTGCTTGAACTGAACACCGAGGTAGTCAGTTTTTATAAACACTTGCCCTTCTGAGTCAGGAAGGGACTCCAGTCTACTACGGTCCTCTTCCCCTGATCAGCTGTCCCCTGTCCTTTGGGCCCCACCTCGCTTCCACCACTGGACACCCTGCTTGGTCTCCTCCTTGGATCACATCCTTGTGATGTGAAAGGGCTAATCGGCCAGAGAACGCCAACATGAGGCTCTTTCCAACTCTTCAGTTCATGGCCGAACTCTAGAGCTAATTCTGCATTGGAACCGCAGACTGTAGAAGCCTCTTCTTAGGTGCTATATTCAAAGTGCCCACGAGCCTCTTAAACTGTCTCACGGGCTGAGAGACCGTCTACGTCTTGCTAAGGACCCTAGGTGGGATGAGTGATGGATGACCGTGCTCTAGCCTCACTGAAGAGGAAGGGACGGTGCTTCTTGACATGGGCTGCATTAAGTTTCATGTTTGTGCAGAGAAAACACTGGGACATCACATTCCGAGCTTAATAAATATATATACAAAAAACGTCGTCTGTAACATTTTCTCCAGAAAGTCATTAGTGCAAATATAATTATATTAATTAAAAAATAAAGCAAAAATATATTTCAAGTATAAAAAGCACCATGCTTGGAAACAAGACTACCTAAATGGCATTACTGCAAAACAGTCAAAATGGAGTCAAACCTACCACCGACCCTCAACATACTCCACTGGTATTTTTGGTGAAATTCTTTATACATCTTGTAGGATGATTTATAATCATCATAGGTATGAAAGTTTAATGTATATTTCTCTCCCCTCCCGCTATGGATAGCTTCATCTCACTATGCAGCCCTAGCTGGAATGGACCTTGCTTTATAGACCAGGCTGGCCTTATACTCAGATATCCACCTGCCTCTGCCTCCCAAGTGCTGGGATTCAAAGCGGGTGCCACCATGCCTGGCCTATTGTACAGTTCTTTAACAACACACTCACTTTTCTGATTTTGTACAATTTAAAGAGTGCAGAATACTGGCAAAACAGAGTGCTGGCCTCCAGACCACGACTTCTCTTTAACTGAAGCTGACTGAGTTTGGGGTCCTCGGCTTTTCACAATGATGAATATCTCCAGCTTGTACTGCATGCATGTACACATTTTAAATTTCTGCCTTTAAAAAAAAGGGTGAGGTTCCCTATATTCTGGGGCTCGCTGTCCTGCTGCAAAGCCACAGTCCCTGGAGTTTCTACTTAGTACCAGGATGTTTTGCTCGCTTACACTATTTCTTTCTTTTCTCTACCCCCAAGGCAGTGTTTCATGCAGCCAATACTGACTTTACATTCAAGTTCCCTATGTAGCTGAGGATGACCTTGAACTCATGATCCTCCTGCCTCTACCTCCCAAGCGCTGGGGTTACAGGTCCCCATGCTCGGCTTTACCTGCAGTTTCTTGAATAGAGCACTCAATAACTATACGCTGAGTGGAACAGGTAGGGCGGGAGAGGAATGTGTCTAAACGTCATGTTTCATTTTAAAAACTGTTTTACATTTACTTGCGTGTACATGCGTGTGCACGTGTGGGTCAGAGGACAACTTTCAGTGTGGTCTCCAGGACTCAGACTCAGGAGGTCAGGCTTGGTGGCAAGTGCCTTTACCACTGAGCCACCTTGCTGTTCCCAAAGGCTACAGAACGTTTTATCTTTAGGGAGAAAAACAGGACATCATTCCTCATTAAAGAATTTCAAAGTTGGCTGGGCGGTGGTGGCACACGCCTTTAATCCCAGCACCCAGGAGGCAGAGGCAGGTGGATCTCGGTGAGTTCGAGGCCAGCCTGGTCTACAGAGCGAGAACCAGGACGGGCACCAAAACTGCACAGAGAAACCCTGTCTCGGAAAAATAAATAAATAAATAAATAAAAATTCAAAGTTGGGGTCCTAGAGGGTTGGTTAAGCTCTGGTACCAGAGCAGAGATGCTTCACAGATCCATGTGGTCCAGCAGTGTCGACCATGGGAGGAAATGGACATTGAAAGCAAAGGTAATCTTCCAACTTCTGTAAAGGACTCAGATGGGCCCCTGGGGGCAGCCTGGATGCCAAACCAACACTTGGCTCTTAGGAAGCAATTCAGATCCCCTTGTCTTGACTTGAGTTTTTCTTCTTGGCTATGAAATAACTTCCAGGTACTAGCAGTTCTTCTGTAACGGCTCAGTCCACTTGGAAGTAACCGCATGCCTGTCCACGTCTGAACTTTGAAATTTTACATAGGCCAGAAAGGATCAGCTGGGCTTTGGTGGATTACAGTTGTTCTAAACATTACTCGAAGCACCCACAATCACGCTGTCTTCTGTTTGCGTGATCTCAACGTGCGCACTGTGCACTGTACTTCATGCTCCCCCACGGTCTTTCAGGTTGCTATGAAGTTAACGAGAAATGAAGCGGACGCTGCGCTCAGATGAAGATGGCTGAGGGCCGACGACACATGGGCAACAGCTGTCTGTCGTGAACGGGCCAAACAGCTGGCAGGAAAGGCAAACATGGTCAAGTCAGAAGCGTTAGCAAAACGGAACCGTCAAGAAGCATGATGATCGGAGTGTATCGTCGTGTCCAGGTTTCATCTAAAGCATGTGCAATGGTGACAGGAAATCCGGAATCCCAATGACCATTTTTGTACTTTGGAGGATGGGATCCTCCACTTAAACTCTGGAGTGGTTGGTCAGCTGCTCTGTGAGTGACCTCGATGCGCACGAACTTTCTCAGTTAACGCAAATGCTGAGGTATGTAATCATGGCAAATCTCACCATCCGCCCTGAATCCAAAGGAGAACTCGCTGTCAGGAGACTGCATATCCATACACTAAGGAGCCTTGGGCACACGCAATTCCTCTTCAAGCTCGGAGGCGGCTGTGTGGCTGATGAGGGACCTTCTGCGGCCAGCGCTTCCAAGCCAGAGTCAGGGACGCCAGCTCTGCCGTCTGCGTCGCCGGCATGGGCTGGCACTCCCCCAGGCTTTGTGCTTTGCTCATGGGAACACGCCAAAGCTGTCATCTCGAGAATTCAGTTCTCCATCCCTAGTGCCACACACACAGAAGAAATCCAGCCAGCAGAGGAAACAGATTGCCTAGGAGGAGCCAGAGCGTGACCACCAGGCTAGAAGAACAGGAGCAGAGGTCTATGGTAGAAAACAAAACAAAACAAAACAGGCACATGTTTGTGATTCAATCATCCCAGGTAAACAGTGAGAGGTGAGCAGATTATGAGAGGGTGAGCAAGGACCACCTTTAGAAAGTGGAGCAGAGAGTGTGTAGAGCTATAGCTCAATGGTAGAGCACTTGCCCTGCATGCCTGAGGCCATGAGTTCAATCCCCCCATCCTCTATAAACAGGGCATGATGTGCACTCCTGTAATCCAAGCACGCTGGAGACAGGCAGAGGTGAGAGCATCCTTATGAGTTTAAGGGCAATCTGGTCTACACAGAAAGTTCTAGGCCATCCTGGGTGACAGAGACCCTGTCTGAAAACAAATTTTGAAAAGTGAGTTTTAGGCAAAGAACAATCAGACTGCAACCCACAGAACCAGGGAGGCTACCTAGCAGGGGGGACCCTAGGATGACTGTGGCTTATAATAAGTTTTGGTTTTATTCAATTACTGGGCGAGCCTCAATGAAACATTTCAATATTAGGATAAGAATTTATATTGTATCAAGCTGATAATAGAAAAAAAATGAATTAAAAAAAAACCATACAAAAAAGTGAGTTTTAGTATTCTGAAATATATATTACTTCTGTGAGGTTAGATGAACAAACTAAATGGGAACAATAAGGAGAAGAATTAATGGAGATGAAATTCACTCTCTATTTCAGAATATTAGCAGGTTTTTGTTCGTCCATTTGTTTGTTTTTAAAAACAGGGTCTCATGCAGCCCAGGTGAGCCTCCAACTCTCCGTGTGGTTGAACTCGAACTCTTGATCCTTCTGCCTCATCTCCCGAGGGCTGGACTGCAGGTGTGTGCACCCTGCGCTGTTAAGTATTGGCTTTCATGTTAGCCGTGTGGTACTGAAATAGTCTCGTTTACAAGACAGTACACCAGGGATGATGCCCTGTTAAACGGACGTGGCTGTGGTTCACTACGTCTCCTGCAAGGGCACTGAAATACCACATTTTAAAATTCGGCAGGTAGCACCCAGTCTACCTGCCCAGTCAGGTCAGATCCCACTGGACTGGACACAGCGTCTCTGTGTATGTCCATTGCCTCTCTGAGACTGTATGTTGGATTGTCATTTCTATGAGGAAGCATGTGCGAATCACTGTAGCCCAGTCTGGGGACGCAGCTCAGTTGGTAGAGGCCTTGCCGGGCTTGTGTGAGGCCCTGGGTTCAGTCACCAGCACAGCATAAAGCAGGCGCGGCAATGGGGACACAGGTCCATAATCCCAGCACTCGAAGGTGAAGGCAGGAGGGAGTTCAAAGGCACCCTCAGCCTCCGATGGAGTTGTTGGGGGCCTGCATGAGCTACATGAGACTGTCTCAAAAACAAAGGGGGGAGACACACACATACATACACAGATACACACACACACACACACCAGAGACAGACACACAGAGACACAGACACCCTCCCCCCGCCTCCCCCACACACCGATCAAGCACACGTGAGAATTCCTGGCACAGTTGCACAGGCAGTCAGTTCAAACTCTTTGTGGGCTCTGTTCACAAATGCAGGCAGTCAAGGCATTTCAGCGGTTCAGCAGTGTTGCGTACAAAGCTGAAAGGTGATGCCCAGGATCTTCCTATTCCTGTTGTATTCTGTACCACTCTCAAATCAATGCAGTGGAGGCTGGAAGGTAACTAGGGGCTACAGTGATTCGCACATGCTTCCTCACAGAAATGACAATCCAACATACAGTCTCAGAGAGGCAACGGACATACGCAGAGACGCTGAGTCCAGTCCAGCGGGATCTGACCTGACTGGGCAGTGAGGGAATGAAGAAGAGACATCCACTCAAGCAGCAGCAGACACAGCGGAGGCGCACTGAAAAGCTGGGGTCAGGTGGGCTGTGCACACTCTGATGGGGTTGAACAACTGTTGATACATCCTGGGACCTCAGTGTCTTTATCATGACAGTCCGGGGGTGGGGGTGGGGTACCGAGTGTGGGCAGGAAGTCTCTGTGGGTGAGCTGTCTCCGCTATAAACATCAGAAGGGAGCTGCAGCTGCCGGTCTTAGACACATAGTCGTTCCCACTTGGACCCTGGAGGAAGCCCATGCTTTCTGTGTTCAGGCCTTTGTGTCTCAGGCACTCTTCTGTGTAGGTATCAACCCCTTCTGGAGTGGCTTGTGTGTGTGGACTTGCTCCTGTGTGCACGTCTTCAAAGGTGACATGAGTGGCGTCCTCTTTCCTCTCTGTACCTCTGAGACTTGGTCTCTCGGAGAACCGGAAGCTCCGATGGGCTAGGTCGGCTGACCAGCAGGCTCCCAGGAGCTTCCTGACTCCACCGCAGAGATCTGGGTTATAGGCAAGCACGATCAGGCCTAGCTTTCTATGTAGGTGCTGGGGATTTGAACTCAGGCCCTCATGCTTTCAAAGAAAGTGTTTTCTACTCATGGACCCATCTTCTAGACCCCTTTTTGAGTACCTCACCTGATTATGACATAACTAAAATATATTTCATTCCTTTTTTTATTTGACGAGTAGAGTTTTGTTCACTCTTAGTTTCCAAGAGAAAGTGTAATATCCACTGCCATGGCCTTGAGCGGGCTGCCACGTTCTTCACACAGAGCCTTGCTTTGGCCATGCTCTACCACCGAAGCGTTTACCAGTTTCAAGCTTCTACTAACAGCAGGTAGCAGGGTTTTCCTAGAGATCCTCAATCGGGAAAAGGGGCTTGGCCTGCTCCAGAGGCTCCGTCATTATTTTGTAGGAACAGCTCTTTAGTCCCCGTCCCTCCAACCGTGGAGAGTACTCACCCAGAGGAAGGGCTCGGGTCAGGTTAGCGGCTGGAGGGTCGGTTTCCGGTGGACACTGCTCGCAGAAGTCCCCGCAGGAGGGGCAGAGCAGGTTTCCATTGTGAATCCAGCCGTTCATCTGAATGCGGACAGGGAGGACCTGCCCAGCCCGGCTACACAGATAGGAAGTGTCCTGAACCCAAACTTTCAGACCTTGAGGAGAACAGGAAACCTGCAAATAGGGGATGAAAATGAAGTCACTAAGAGTCTTGGGTGAGTGCTAACATTGACAAAAACGGGGGCTGGGAACAGAGATCACTCAGTAAGGGAACTTGGCGTTGTTAAGCACAGAGATCAGGTCCCTAGCAACCACGTGTGAAGCTGGTGTGCCGCAGGTCTGTAATGCCAGGCTTGCAGAGGCGGACACAGGTTAAGCCACAGGGCTGGCTGGCAATCCAGCAAGATTAGCCGAGACGAGCAAACTTCGGGTTCAATGACCCTATCTCAAAACCAGGTGAAGCATCCATTGAGGAACGACACCTAAGTCATCCCTGGGCCCTCATACACAGGCACCCTTTCCCCCCAAATACATGGGTGCACGCACAGGAACACACACGTACGTACCAAAAATGACTACAACTGTTTCATAATAAACACATTTGGGGATGTTCTAAAAGAATTCCACTTGGTGATAACAGGTTTTGTTTTTTGTTTTTCCTGTAAGATTTATTTGTGTGTGTGTGTGTGTGTGTGTGTGTATGCCTCACGTGTGTGGGTGCCTGCCCTCAGGGGCCACAGGAAGGCACTGGGTCCTGTAGAAGTGGAGGCACAGGCAGCTGTGAGCCACTTGCCATGGGTGCTGGGAACTCAACAGTCTCTGGAAGAGCAGAAAGCTCTCGTCACTCTGCGCCATCTCCCCGCCGGGGTTGTTGTTCTCAAACTCTGGCGAGCCAACTGAAGTCAGTGACCCCGGAAGTCGAATTTTAAAGATCCAAAGACTCCAGCACCCTCCAACACGTTAGCTTCAATCTCTGTCACACAGGGCTGAGGCACGTCACTCTCCACAAATCACCAAATTCCACTAGTCATATTTTATGAATTATTTGAGTTCAGGTGACCACCAACCATAAAATTATTTTTGTTGCCACTTCATAGCTGTGATTTTGCTACTGTTATGAATCACAATGTAAGTATTTCTGGAGGCAGAGGTTTGCCAGGGGTTACAACTCACAGGTTAAGAACCACTGGTTTTGGGCTGGAAAGATGGCTCAGTGGTTAAGAGGATGCAGGGTCAATTCCCAGCACCCACATGGCAGCTCACAACTGTCTGTAACTCCAGTTCCAGGGGATCTGACACCCTCACACAGACATACATGCAGGCAGAACACCAGTGCACATGAAATAAAATAAATTAAAAAAAAGAACCTCTGGTTTGGAGGTAAAAAGCCCCCAACAGGCTCCCATGTTTTAACACCTGGTCCCCAGCAGGTGGCGCTGTTTGGGGGCAGTGTGGAACCTCTGGGAGGTGGAGGACTAGCTGGAGGATGTGCGGGCCCTGAGTGTATGGCTTAGACCGGCCCCCTGTGCCGGCTCTGCTTCGGGTCTGCTGAGAAGTGAGCAAACAGCACCCATCCCAAGCTCCCGCTGTGCTACCCCGCCACGAAGGACTGTGTCCCCTCAAACAGCACCCATCCCAACCTCCCACGGACTGCCAGGTCCCCTCAAACTGTGAACTCAATTAAAGCTCTCCTCCACGCCGTTGCTTCCTGTCAGGTGTTTCGCAGCAATGACAAGCAAAGGACCTGATGCCTAATGCACCCAGCTGTGATCGTGGTTTTTTTTTCTCCTCGGTTAAACTTCTTTGCTGAGGACCAAACCCGGGGCCTAAAGGTCTCTAAAACCAAGCTACCTCCCCAGTGCCCTGACTCACTCTTAAGTAACCATGGTCTTTGTGCTTGGCTGAGGTCTACAACACAGGCTCTGTCCTCTAGCAGCTTCCAAAAACTAACATTTCATTAAGTCTCTGAGAATTCCATCCAGTGTCCTTTGATCTTATCACCCCTCTCCCAACTCCTCTCAGACCCCCTAGGAGCTTTAACTGAGGAAACGAGAGTGGGATAAAGGTATTTTTATTGTCCTAAAAACAATCAACTAGTTCAGGTGGGCATGGGGGCAAGCACGTTTATCTGCAGCACTCAGGAGGCAGAGGCGGGAGATCGGGGTTCAAGCCCAGCCTCAGCTACATATTGAGTTTGAAGCTACCTGGGTTGCATGAGATCCTTTAAAAATAAATAAATTAGTTAATAAACTAATACACATTTTATGATTGAGAAATGAAAATGGTGAAATAAGAGTAATATGAACATTAGAAAGTTTCATGGAAGAAATGTAATTTGTGTCCTGGAGCTAGGACAGGATTTGGATGACGGTGAGGTAGACATGTTATAAGCTGGGAAACAGAATGCACACAGCTTTGAGAGAAGATGGAGTTAAAAGTGTTCCTAGGGCACATTCTTTGGTGAACTTTATTACTGTTTGCAGAATTCTCAGAAGCACGTGTGGGCAGGTTGGTAATGCACAAGAAGTAGTTGATTTAACAGTCTCAAGTGAACTGAATCCAAGCCCATCAGAGAAAACCTCATCTCTACTGCACAGGACGAGGTCCCAGGAGCTGGGGGCTGCAGTTACAAAGACCAAAGTCTAACGTATTAAAGGTTGGGCTATTTTGGAGAATTAATTGATTTCAAGGCAGAGTCTCACTTTGCAGCCCTGGATGGCCTGGAACTTGCTATGCAGACCAGGCTGGTGTCTCCTCACAGTGATTTTCCTGCCTCTGCTGTATTTTCGGAGATCTTAACAGCCTGTTTATAAAGAGGAGCCCTGAGCACGAACACAGCCCTGTCTAGCATTCAATTACTTTTCAACCGTCATGAAAGGAAAAGTATTACCAACTCTTAGAAAGGAAAGATGACACTGAGAGCCAGAACCCAAAGGAGCTCCTTCAGAAGTCTGTGGGAAAGAATTTCCAAATCTTTCTTAAGCTCTAGTCAGCCAAAACTATTGAAAAGTAGAATATGCCTCCCCGAAACCCAACGGTTTGCTATGAGGCTTATTTGGGGGTACAAGCACTTAATAAACAGCAGACACCAGAGCTTTCTGACTGTCCCCTTCCCCAAAGCATCAGACTCCCACGTGGGAGATGTCCTCCGTGTTCCAGCATGAAAGGGACATCGTCGTCTCCAGAGACCCTGAGTCAAAGCTGCGCAGGTTCAGTATGACAGTCCCTGCCTGAGGAAGCCTCTCCTTCCATCTGTCTTCTCGCATCTCTTAGTTATCCACAGTTGCATCTGTGGTCCAAATAAGCACACAGCATACAGATGTACTCCTTGGGGTCCCCACTTCCTCACGAAGGCTCCTGTGTCATATAAACGTACACTGAATGAATCAGTGCGGTCCCCCTGTCCCTCTAACTTCTGTCTGTTTCATTCTCGGCCCTGAGGAGTCCCTGCAAGGACAGAGACATCGCTTTGTTGTTCTTAGCTATAGAGGCAGATGTGGGGGTCGCAGGGTTCTTCTGTGCACTCGATCCCGTAAGTCCACTAGAAATACAATCTACCAACCTGACAGGAAAACCCTAGAAACGGTTTGACACAAACTCCCCAGGGAGCTCCAGTAAGAGAGGAGCAGGATTGGTCCAGGACTCTGAGCCATCACTGTGTACCAGACGGTGCCTCAGTTACGGCGTCATGGTCATGTAAACACTAAAAACCTATCTGTCCAAATCACCAGTGGGAGGACGCAGAGGTCTCACCTCTCTCAGTGCTGGTGCCTTCCCAGAGGGATCACATGGATTCTTAGCTGTTCAGTTGTTCTTTACGCTTATGTTGTGTGTTATGTGGTATTGTAGTTTTGGAAGAAGACAAGTACTACTCAACTGAGTTGTATGTAATTTTAAGAGCCAGGTGTGGTGACATACACCTGAAATCCAGCACTTAAAGCAGGAGGATTAGGAGTTCAAGGACACTGTTAGACTAGTCTGGTTTACATAGCAAGTTCCAGGACAGTCAGGGTTACACAGAGACTTTGTTTAAAAAAAAAAAACCCAAAACAACAACAACAACAACAACAACAAACCCATCAAGGACCAGTAAACTGGAGACCCACATGTGAACTACGGTAAGTGCGCGCGCGCGCGCACACACACACACACACAATCACCATCATCATTATCCTCAACTACAGAGTAAGTTTGAGGCCAGCCTGGCATTTTCCAGATGACTGAATGATGCGGGAGGGACAAGCTCACTGTGGGTGGTGCCACCCCCTAGGCAGATGGGGTGGAGTTGCGTAAGAAAGCAGGCTGAGCCAGCTGTGAGGAGAAAGCCAGTAGTCAGTGTCCTCCATGGCTTCTGCTTCTGTTCTGCAGGGTTCCTGCCCTGCCTTCCTTCTCTCAGTGACAGAGAAGGACCCGAGAGCTGTCAGCTGAAACAGACCCCGCCCTCCCCAAGTTGCTTTTTGTCATGGTGTTTTATCAGAGCAATAGAAACCCTGACTAAGACACCTGCCTGGCACCTGTGAGTGGGGTATTCACTAGCTGGGTGCCCCCTCACCTTCACAGAATTCCTGCATCTGGATCAGTTCTTAATAAAGTGACTTTGTCATCAGCATGTGTATCTGCTGAAATCTCCCCTGTCACAGAGATCAAGACAGACCCTCTCCCACTGAGCCATGTCCCCAGCTCCCTCCATAGACTTTTTGACACAAAACTGTACATTATTGCCTTACAAAGTAACTCTTGTTCAAGAACAAAAGTACATATTTGCCATCATTTCCTTAGGATTTATGCTCAGAAGTAAAAATCACAGAACCCATTAATTTATAGCAACTTTTATTTGTTTATTTTAAGGCAGGGTCTCACTATCCAGTCCTGCCTGTTCTGGATCTTGCTCTGTAGATCAGGCTGGCCTTGAACTCACAGAGATCTGCCTGGCTCTGTCTTCCAAGTGCTGGGATTGAAAATGTGCACAACCATGCCTGCCTAGCCCAGGTTATATATATTCCAAACAGATGGTTAAAAGCAATTTCTATCAGAGAAATGACAGTATTTTCACAAACCACAACACTCAAACTAATAATTACAAAACCCACACAAATGAAAGAAATGATCAGTAAATCATCTATCAGTGATAATCTAAGATATGAAAGTATGTATTTGGAGTAGCGGCTGAACTCGTGGCTTACCTGGTAGCATCCGCTCCCCCAGTCTGGGTAACTGAGCTTCCTCTCACACTGCTCCATGACAAACGCTGACTTCTGAAGTAGACAGACCGAGTGAGGGCCATACTTTTCTGCACCGTAGTTCTTGAACATTTCTGAAACAAAGCCAAGAGTCTTCTTACACACTGACTGTTAGTGCAAAGACTAAGAAAGGAGGCATTCCATGTTGACGATTAAAAGTTGTGCCGGGGACGAAAAGACAGGAGGATAGCAAACCTGAGGCCAGCCTGGGCTACGGAGATCATGTTTTAACAACAGCTGTATAAAAGAGGGTTTAAAAACCTAGCACGCTGAGGCAGGCCCCGTTCACATCTGTAATCCCAGGTCTTGGAAGGCAAAGCAGGACTGTTGTGAGTTTGAAGCCAGGTCTCGGAGGAAAACTGTCTCCAAAACCAAAAGCATGTAACAAATTTGCTAAATAGAAAATTTCAAGTTAAAAAAAAGATAAATAAGACTCCAAACTCAGAGTTTTCAGAAAGGAGCCCATCTGAGAATTACTAAACCGGAAATGAAATTAAGTGGGCCCTAAGTATCGGGGTTAATTATATGGAGGATTTGGCACTGAAAATCACAGAATTAGATACCAAAGCAAGAACCACTTTGTGTGACGGCCTACAAGTAAGGTGTTCTTTCATGTGACTCGGGGCAGCCATTGTAATATTGTGTTGTGTGGGTTTTGAAGACAGTGTCTTGCTATGTATTTCAGGCTTGCTTGTAGATTCAGGACTTATGGCCTTAATTTTATGAGCTACAAAAGAAGATATAAAATAGCAAAACCAAATCCTATGCAGTTCTTATCTATGAATTTCAAGTCCTTGAAAAGAATATCGAATAGTGTACAAAGCATAGTTTTCAGCCAACTACAACCCTCAAGCTAAACCCGAGACCCTGTTCGTTCTGTATTCCCTGTAACCTTTCACACTGTTGAAGGCAAAGCACAGGTGCAAAGCCTGAGATATTTGTATCTTTAAAGAGCGGTGTTGAGCCTGTCCCTGAAACAATACTGTGATCTTTCCAGCAAATCCTCATGGACGGCTCTTTCTCTTCACGAGGCTCCGACGAGTGGGTCCACCATTAGTGTTTGGGATGTGTCTGCGATAGGTGAGTGGGAGCGAAAATGGCCAGAGACTCAGTTAAGTGTGCCAGGCTGAGGCATAAGTGGCAGCTCTGGGCTGCATTCCAGTGATTGCCAAGCCCACTGCCCTGTATGTTCAAGAAAGAAAAAGAATAAATGGTTAAAAAAAAAATCATAGCTGTTTATGGTTTAAATATCTAATCTGTAATAAAGTAGGAACAAGATGGAAAGAGGGGATGACCAAGTTAAAACTTCTGTAAAAAACCATTGTTGTATTTTATTCTTTTATGTGTATGGGTGTTTTGGCTGCACGCCTGCCTGGTACCTAAGAGGCCAAAATGGGTGTATGATCCCCTGGAACAGAAATTTCAGATACTTGTGAGCTTTGATGTGGGTGTCTCTAATCTTTTCACCTCAGTGTAGTGGACAGTTGTTCTGTCTATGACCTTGAAGCACCGCCCCTAGAGATGCATCAGGTAATTGCTCCACCTGCCTATGACCTTGAAGTACATGCCCCTGGGGCGTGGCCTCTTTCGACCCTTAAGACCTGAGATGCACACAGGCAGCTCTCTCGCTCTCTCTCTTCTCTCTCTCTCTGCTCCCTTGTGGGACTTGGATGCAGGACTGATTCGGGTGGCCGGAACAGCGTTCCAGAACCTGTGTCAATTCTGTTCTGTAGTCAGTTTTTCCCTTAATAAATTCTTTGCCCTTTAAACAGACTCCGTGGATTTCTCATTATACCTCGGCCTTCCAAGTACTAGGATTCTAAGCATGAGCCACCATGCATGGCTAATTACTGCTTTTTATTAAACATCAGATTTGAGAATATTTGTTTAGAAGCTTGGTTAAGTATGAACTATAATGATTATACTGTTTATTGCTTTGCCGTCTTGTTTTTATGTATTTAAAGGAAACAGATAATATGGCACTATCTCTTTTTGGCTGTGGGACAGCAGTACTTATTATCTCAAGATCTGCAGAGATCACAGGGAAAAGCAGGTTCCCTAAAGCACTCCAAGAAACGAGAAGGAGGCTGATAGGATCTTGCTATCAGTCGACTGTATCACCCTGGGTCCGTTCATGCATCGGGAAAACAAGTCGTCTTCCTTATGTCTCCCACAGGGATTTCAGAGAAACCAAACAGCAGGAAATGAAGTGCTTGCTGCAAGGCAGATGTAAGGTGTGTACGTGTGCACGTGTGTATGTGTGTACATGTGTGTGTACCTGGCAGTCAGCAATCCTCTCCAAGTGTAAGACATAGTTTGAAGCACTTACTTTGCGCCTTTCCTGGAGCTCACTTGGTAGCCCAGGCTGGCCTCGAACTCACAGAGATCCGCCTGGCTCTGCCTCCCAAGTGCTGGGATTAAAGGCGTGCGCCACCAACGCCCGGCCTTCCTGCTGTTTTTAAAGATTTATTTTTATTATTTTAAAGTTATGTGTGCACGTATGTCTGTGTGTGGTTGTATGCATGTTGGTACAGGGGCCTGTGGAGTCCAGAAGCAGGTATAAGACTCCCTGAAGCCGGGCGGTGGTGGCGCACGCCTTTAATCCCAGCACTCGGGAGGCAGAGCCAGGCGGATCTCTGTAAGTTTGAGGCCAGCCTGGGCTACCAAGTGAGCTCCAGGAAAGGTGCAAAGCTACACAGAGAAACCCTGTCTCGAAAATCCAAAAAAAAAAAAAAAGACTCCCTGAAGACAGAGTTACAAGCAGCTGTGAGCTGCCTGACCTGAGTGCTGGGAACCGAACTCGGGTCCTCTGCAAAAGCAGCAGGTGGTCTTCACTTCTGAGTCATCTCTCCAGCTTCCATTTAATTTTTGTAATAACTTATGAGGCAAGGAATATATGGGCAGAGAAAGCAAGTAACACCAAAGCTGAGTAATTATATATAGACAGACAACAGAGGAGTTGAATACACACTCAAGGTCATCTGGCTACGAGAACTGTTCCCTTAGCAACTCTTTTGTCTAGGTAACATAAAGCTGTAGGATGTACTTAGCCCTTCATTTCACCAGACTACTAACCTGGTTGATTTTCCAGTATTCTACAGTCGGAGCTGCGCTGGTATTCCCCACTTAAATGCCAGCTGAATTCCTGACTGAAAGGGCAGTAGTCGGCGATTTCTACTGACCCACCATAGTAGGGCAAATCCTCTGCAGATATTCCACTGAGCTCATCGAAGTACTGTGAACAAATCACAGGAGGGGAGAAGAGTAAGAGTCATTCTGTAAAACCAGAACAAGACCACAGGCCATTACTGCAACCTGCCTCCTACCCTAAAACAATGGTGCGGTTTTCTCCGGACACTGTACAATAAGATGACGTAGGCTATCTACGATGATGCTGCGCCATGTAGGGCATCTTCAGGGCCCTACAGTTCTAGAAACAAGTGGTAAGTTATCTGTAAGATGATGAATTTGAGGGAGCGGGGAGGACAGGGGAATCCATGGCTGATATGTAAAATTAAATTAAGTTATAAAATAAAAAAAAATTAAAGAGATGATGAATTTGATTCATGTTTTAAAAGAACGAAGTAGAATAAGACTAAGCAAAGGAAAACAAACACTTAATATTTCCATTCCTTAGCATATGAGTATCATATTAGTGTATCTTTAGGTTGTATTGTATTAGAATGTTTGATCTCTAAATCTGCTGTCTGGGGTGGGCATGGTGGCACACGCCTTTAATCCCAGCACTCGGGAGGCAGAGGCAGGTGGATCTCTGTGTGCTCGAGGCCAGCCTGGTCTGCAGAGTGAATTCCAGGACAGCCAGGGCTATCTAGAGAGACCTTGCCTTGAAAAACAAAATAGGTATTTGTTGTATGAATTGCTGACTTGAATTTTATTAAAAAAAAATTAAAGGAATTTTGATTTGGGATTGGCTAGGAATTTCCAACAATTTTGGAAACGACCGTAAACATACTTCTGCTATTTTGTACTGGATATTTATGTGAAATTGTATTTATAAAGTCAAAATATTGATAATGCTAGAAAACACTGAAAATGTTCTACATCTTGCAGTGAAGATTTAACTATTTATGTAAAAATAAATTAACAATCTACCTCATTAGTATGCATATTTGCTTTTGTTTTTAAAAAATGCTAAAAGTATATGCATAGCAAAAACAAACAAACAAACAATACCCCCAAAGACAATAAAACAGAGCCAGACATGGTGGTTACTCCTTTAATGCCAGCACTTGGGAGGCAGGGGCAGACGGATCTGTGGTCTAAGTAAGTGATCCCAAGCCAGTCAGAACTACATAGTGAGACCTTGACTCATAAATACCCCAAAAAACAGGAAGAAAAAGAGGGCTGATATAACATAAAACTAATGCATAAAATGAAGACATTTTAAATATAAAATATTACATACAATGGACCGTGCTGTAAGCCCCAGCCCCTTTTGGGGAGGCTGAGACATCAGGGCTGCTGGGGTCCAGCAGTTTGGGGCCATCCAAACAATACAGCAAAAATAATACACATAGGAAGTGTCTAAGTAATTTTAGGAACAAAAGATCTTGAAAATATCCATATAAAATAGTTTGAATACCAAATTAGCAAGGATCAAGTACGTTGTAAGGTTTCACATTGTGCCAGCTAGTGGCACATGCCTGCAAATCCCAGCATCTGGGAGACTGAGGCAGGAGAACTAAGTTAGAGGTCAGCCAGGGATACATAGCACCCCGTTTGGGGGAAAAAAAAATCACACTTTACACTAACATACTGTGACACTATCCCCACAAACTCCTTTGCCATCTGACGGCGTCTGGTGTACTCAGTGAGGTCGACTCCATGTCGGAATGTCACAACTGAGCAGATCTCATTGTCCTTAGCTTCTGAGACACGTGTGACAACAGGTCCCTTTGTGAGTGGCAGATGGAGCTGAGGGACTTTAAAGACTAAGAAAAGGAACTTGGGTTGCTGCTGTTTATGACAGGGTCTTGAGCCTGTCAGTGCCACACCTGGATCCAGAAGAGGAAGTTAAGATCAGTTAGACTCAGGCTGGACATGTGCAGCCATTTTATTTACCTTTTATTTTCAGAAAAGCTTTATTTATTTCAATTTTTTTTTATGTGTTAAAGTGTTTTTCTTGCATGTGTGTAAGTGTGCTATGTGTGTGCTCAATGCCCACGGAGGCCAGAAAAGTCTGCTGGATGCTCTGATTCTCGAGCTACAGAGAGTAGTGAGCTAACAAGACATGGAGAATGGGACCCAGGCCCTCAACACGAGCGGCCTGTGTTCTTAACCACTGAGCCGTCTCTCCAGCCCCTGTTCATCTTTTAGATCTCACAAATCCAATTCTTTTTAAAGCAGAACTTGCACGTCTTCTAGTTAGCTGGGTTACAGTAACTAAATTATTTTCCCTCAAGATTTTTGTTTTCTGGAGAAATTAGAGAAACTGAGGGAAGGAGACGTTGGCAACGTTAGAAAGAAAAGGGGCAAAGGGAAGCTGGGGGTGACTCAGTGGCTAAACCACTTTCTGTGCACGTGGGAGGACCTGCGTTTGAGCCGCAGCATCTGGGTGAACAGCTGGGCATGGGGCAGCCCTGTCACCCCACTGCTGGGGAGAGGGGACAGGACCCTGGGGCTTGCCTGGCCATTGTCCCAAGGCACAGCTATGTGACTACTATGCAGCATGTCAGTCTTGAAGAGATCAGGGACCTGCAGGCTTTTCTTTCCTTTTCTAACAGAAAACACAGAAAATCACACAATAAAAATGTAAGATATTTACTCTCTCTCTTTTTTTTTTCCAAGACAGGGTTTCTCTGTGTAGCTTTGCGCCTTTCCTGGAGCTCACTCTGTAGACCAGGCTGGCCTCGAACTCACAGAGATCCGCCTGCCTCTGCCTCCTGAGTGCTGGGATTAAAGGCGTGTGCCGCCACTGCCCGGCCCGATATTTACTCTCTTAATTAAAACAGCGACTAGTTTTGAAGAAGCTGACTCTTAAAGCTGTTCCGGGACAAGTGTTACCTGGTACTCTGGAGGTAGAGGGTTGGGGAACCTCTGCAGGTTACACACAGCCACGGCTCTCTGGTCCTGTCTGCACGTCAACTGGAGTGGGTTACTCCGGAGCGTGTCGCAGTATGGACTGGGCACCCGCCTCCTGCACACAGGAAGGAAGGCAAGCTGGTGTCAGGTCATTTTCCATGTCAAGGGCCTGCTGAATGGAGGTCTGTGCATCTTGGCATCAAATTAGAAAGAAAACATTACAAGTCCATTATAGAGACTGTCAGTTCAGCTTGAATCCCCAGAGTTTAATGGTTCACAGTAAATTTCTAATCAGGTTATCAAGATTGTCCCCAGAGTAGAGGGGACGCTGAGCATAGACGTGGAGGATTCATCTAGATGCCAAGAGCACTATTAGACCTTATTACAGAAAATCCCATTAACTTTTTTCTACACCTTCGCCAGTAAAATCTGGTTCTGTAGGTCTACAGTCTGAATTAGCTTAATCACTGAGGGGAAAATTTTTAAATATAAAAAGGCTTATTTCTACCCCCTGGAGGGTGGAACAGATAGATGCATTTTTTTCTCTTCTTCATTCAAAGCACAGCTGAACTCCCTCGCTGCTAAAACTGACAGACTGAAAGACAGAGAAAGGCAGAGAGGAGAGGCAGACTCAACGGACCTCAGGGTGAGAAACCCAGGGCCGTGGGAACGTTCTCAAGGACCGTAGAAGAAACCAGCCGGACGGCTCAGTGGGTGAAGGCTAGTCCGCAGTCGGAGTGCAATCCCTAGAACCCACACAAAAGTGGAGGGAGAGACCCAACTCCACAAAGCTGTCCTCTGACAACCACACACGTGCCATGGCATGCACACTTTTCCCTACACTCAGTATAGACACACACAATAATATAGACCGATGATTTTTCCAAGATTAACTTTTAAAAATTACTTTTTAAAGGCACCGATTACTAAAAAATACCAAGGGGACAGGAAAGCCAACCTTAGACACCTAAATTTGATAATTCAGACAACAACAACAAAACCCCATAAAGTGCCATAATGTATTCAGTGTGAGCCAGACAACGTGAGCGGCCTCGTGAGCTGTAAGGAAGCTTAGTTCACAATGTCAGAACTCTTAAAAGTCCAGGGCTAGACCGCGTCACTGGAGAAGTCTACCTCACACTTCAGAAAGCTTGCTCTGGCAGTGCAGGCAAATACAAAGGGGAGGTTGAGGCAGGAAGATCAGGAGTTTGAAGCTGGCCTGGGCCACGGAGCAAAACTGTCAGAGGCAGCAGGGTGGGCAGGAAGGTCTGGAGAGGCGCTCAGTGGTGAAGAGCTCACACCACTCTGGCACAGGACCCTAGTTCGGTCCCCAGAGCCACACCGGACAGCTCACAGCTTCCTCTAACTACCGCTCTTGGGGAGCTGATGCCCTCTTCTGGCCTCCTTGGGAACCCACCACAATGGATACATGCACATACATGTAAAAAGAAAATGAATCTTAAAAAAAATAAGATGAGAAGCAGCAGGGGGAGGAGGGTCCGATTCTGTACGATCTCTCCCAGAAAGCAGAAGAGACGGGCGAGCGTCTTAGTGCATTTTAAGATACACAGGGTAAACATTGTACAAAAGAAAGAAGGAAGGAAGAAGAGAAGAGAGGAAGGGGACGGGGGTGGGGGGAGAGGTGATTACCATAAACATCCAGTTTCAGAACCCCAATCTAGAGAATAATTATTTAATTTTCAGGGCTGGGTTTGAACCCAGGGCCTTGCACCTGCCAGTCAAGTACTCTGCCACTAAACTACATCCTTAGTCCAGTTTCCGGATACTAAATCAGCATTTGCTTGTATAGTCATGGATGCGTTCTTCTAGTTTGCGATTCAAAACAATCCCGAAGAACTCCTAGAACACTCTCTCCACACAGCAGCTGGTGTTTGGTGCCCAAGACAAGGAACACAGTCAGAAGTGAGCTGCACCAGGAGGTACGCGGAAACACACTTACTTCTGCCTCTGCTGGTCAATCCAGAACTTGCAGCTCTTCCTGGCAAATTCGCAGCCCATCCCGCGGCCCCAGTCCAGTTTCTCAGCCATGCTGTAATTCGCTTTGTACCAGCTGTGGAAACAACGAAGAGAAGTGCCTTTTACCAATGCCAGCGCCTACTAGGGATCTCCGCACCGTGTAGAGCCATAGCGGCCGCAGCCAGAGTGCGCATGTGTAAACTGGCTGCAGGAGGGCTGCCGCCCAGGATGCTGAGGAAGCGTTTTTAAATCAAAGGCGGTCTAGCCAGCAAAGATCCCAGTTTCAGGGGATCATAAGCCTTCTTCTGCATGCATGTAGAATTAATGATATACATACATGCAGCACAGACATACACACACAAAATAAACTGGGCGTGTGGTGCACCCTTGCATCCCAGCACTGGGGAGGAGGCAGAGGCAGGCAGATCTCTGTGAGTTTGAGGCCAGCCTGGTCTACAGAGTGTCAGGACAGCCAGGGCTACACAATGAGACCCTGTCTCAAATAAACAAAATCTCAAATAAATAAGAATTTAAAAATTCTAATCTAGTGAGGAGGACAGATAAACCAAAATATTCTAAATGACGAGTTTTACGAAAGACAATTGGAAAGTGCTAACAGAAGTGTATCACCAGCAAAACTTACGCTGGTGTGGGCCCCCGAGGCTTTTATGAGCATGCACTGGGAACAGGGTATCCAGGGCTTTCCTGAGCTACAAGATCATCTAGTGGGCACGATGAGTCCTCCTTTCTTTCACAAGCAACGGAAGGACGGTACTGTGGGCAGTACAAGTGAATCCTTTCTCAGGAGACTCTGGTTCAGGTCTTGTATAAAATTCCAACACTTGGTTGACAGGGCTTTCCTTATAGTAGCTTGCGTGAGCCCCAGAAACCTCGATGGGCTACATACCCCTGTTACCTCTGCGTTACAAGGGAGGAAACTCAGACAAAGGCACACACCTGCTCAGTGACAGTGCCTGATTTACAGCTTTGGTTTCAATGCCTCTGTGTGCTTTAAAAAGTGAGCTCTAACCCACATACCATGAAATTAATCTTTATAATGGGCACATATGCTTCTAGTATACACACACTATCATTGCTATCTAATTTCAGGATACTTCCATCACCCCCAAATAAACCATGTTAAACACTAAACCACTGTTAGTCCTGTTCTTCCACTTAACTTAATGTTTTCAAGGCTCATGCATGTTGTGGTGTACAGCAGAATCTCTTTTTTCCAGACTTTAGTATGGGGAGACAATTTTAAAGTACTAGCAACATTGAGCAGAGAGTACAAAGAGTTCCTAGATCCCCCTGCCTCTACAGACTCACAGTGTCCCTCACCCGAGTCACATTTTGGTTACACCAGTGAATCTACACAGAAGGCCCTCACTACCAAAATCCATAGTTCACATTAGGGTCACTCTTGGTATTCCATACTCTTTTAGGGTATGCATGTTCTGCCTCGCATGCATGGATAAAATCCCTAAGTTTGATCTCCAGCACTACAAGAAAGGAAGCGAGAAATGGAGGGTGGGAGGGAAGGCGTCTACCAATACGGTGCCTCGAAGCGTGGTTTAGTGCCCACTGACTACATAGTCATTTCTCCCTCCTGCGCCAACCCTGGAGACCGCCCCTCGTTACCTTGTCTCTACCATTTTACCCTTCGTCATATAGCTGGACTTGTACAGTGTGAAGCCTTCGAAGATTGGCTTCTTCCACTTAGTATCCATGTCTTTTCAGGGCCTGTAGCTCCTCTGGTTTTAGTGTTAATCAATCCTTCCTTATCTGATCTACCACAGCTGTTTATCAGCCACGTGAGCACCTGTGTGCGGCCTCTGTTCAACTCATCTGGTAAATATCCAGGAGCAGAGCTGGCTGGCTGGGAAGAACAGCTTCGGTTTCATAAGCAGTTTCCAGACTATCCTCCAACGTGGCTGGATCATTTTGCTTCCTTACCGACAAGGAAAGAGTCCTGTTACTCCGGTCCTTGCTGGGATCTGGTGGTATTGAGTGCTGTGTATGTAGTCACGTTTTCACTGGTAGTCTGCTAATGACACATGATGTCATGCATCTTTGCAGATGCTCATTTGCCTCCGTACTTCCTACCTCTGTCTTCCCAGTACTGGGATTACAAAAATACTTTTTTGATTTTTCATCTCTTTTTAAATGATGGCCTTTTCCGTATGGTGCCCTTAACTGCTCCTCCACATACTCTGGATACTGCACAGACACTCGAGAATTGATCTGCAGACATCTTTTCTCATTCTGTGAGTTCTTTGTTTTTTGTTTGTTTTGATAATTTTCTTTGAAGCACAATTTTTAAATTTTTTTGATGAAGTCCAAATGGTCTAGTTTCTTCTTTGGTTGCTGGTGTTTGATCAAGAATCATTTCCTAATCCAGTATCATAAAGACTCACATCTGCTTTATTTCAAGTGCTTTATGGTTTCAGCTATTAAGTTAGGGCTTATTCAGGTCTGACCTGGTCCCGGCACTGTTTGATGAAGTGTTCTTTCCCTGTTGAAGGTCCTGGTGCCTGTGTGTGTGTGTGTACTTTTTTTTTTTTTTTTTGTTTTTGTTTTGTTTTTCTAGACAGGGTTTCTCTGTGTAGTTTTTTATATTTTTTTGGTTGTGAGCCTAGCCTTTAACGGCTGAGCTATCCCTCCAGCCCTCTCTGTGTAGTTTTGATGCCTGTCCTGGATCTCGTTCTGTAGACCAGGCTGGCCCTGAACTCACCGAGATCCACCTGCCTCTGCCTCCGAGTGCTGGGATTAAAAGTGTGCGTGTACTGCCACCATTGCCCAGCAGAATGTACCTTTTTTATTTCAAATTTTACATGCTAATAATGACTTTCAGAGTAGTACCAGCTACCCCTGAAGGGTATAAGAATGCTGTTTTTTCCTTAGTGTTCTTCCAGAGGGTAAAGGAGATTAGAAAGAAGGTGAGCTGCGTATGGTACACACCTGTAATCCCAGCACTGGGAAGACAGAGGTAGGAAGAGCAGGAGTTCAAAGCCCTCCTCCCCCAAATATAACAATAACGAAGTCCCACAAAGAAAACAAAAAATAGATTTGTGTAGATTGTCATAAAACAATGCTCATGAATCATTTAAACTACGTACACACAACCTCTGCCTTCCTCCCCTTGGGGTTGAATTCACGCCTGAATGACGGTGCCATGGAGACCACCACGTATGGCTTTCTTCAACATCCTGCTTTACCTGCACCTCCACTTCCACCCCCCCACCCCCGAATTAACAGGCAGGAAGCTAAGTCCCACCTGAGCCCATTTCTTTCTCTCCTTAAGCTAATTCCCCCCTGGTTTTCTAGATTATTTCACACTGTTAGGAAAAAGCTGTCTCAATCAGATCCGTTCTGACCTGGATCTTTGGCTCTCATTAAACAGAAAAGAGAAACTCTTAGTCTCGTTACTGTTACCAGTATCATTATATAACGGGAGCGTCTACGCTGGGGAGGGAACCTCGCACACACTGGGCAAGCGCTCTATTGTTAAACTACGGCACCCCACTCCTCTCCTCAATTTTACTGAAACTCTTCTCAGGGTCAGCTATGACCTCCATGTTTTGTCATGACCTCTGTATTTTAAAATCTTTATACTTCTGTGGTGGTTTGAATGAGAATGGCCCCCGCAGGTTCAGATATTTGAATCACTGGTCCCCAGTGGGCAAAACTATTTGGGAGGAATTAGGTGTGGTCTTGTTGGAGGTATGACACTCAGGGGTGGGGGCTGTGATTCCCAGTGCATCCTCTCTCTGCCTCACGGCTGTGGATCAAGATGTGAGCGCTCAGCTGCTCCTTCGCTCCACCACCACATACTCTATCCCTCTGAACCCGTAAGCCAGAATAAACACTTTCTTCTATGAGTCACCTTGGTTATGGGGTTTGATCACAGTGGTAGAAAAGTAACTAAGACAACTTACTGTTTTCAATTTTTAAATCTAGTCTTAATTTTTTTGAAATTTTATTTATTTTTATTTTATATGTATGGGTGCTTTGCCTGAATGTATATCTGTGCACTATATGTGTGTCTAGTGCCTCATTCAGGACAGAAGAGGGTACCATATCCTCCTGAACTCGAATCATAACAGTTGTGAGCTGCCAAGGGCTGGGAATTAAACTTGGTTCCTCTGGAAGAGCAGCTGGTGCTCTTAACTGCTGAACAATTTCTCCATGCCCTAAATCTTTATACTTTGTTGATCCTTCAAAAGTTAAGGCAATATCAATTATTTTCATGGTGGATGTTTTGTTCTTGATTTTTTCTTTTTTCTTTTCTTTTCTTTCTTTTTTTTTTTTTTTAAATTTCTGAGGCAAAATCTTATTATGCAGTCTCGACTGGACCTCACAGTCACCCCCAATCATCCTCTGGAGTACTAGGATAAGGACACACAGTCACCGTCCTCTGGAGTTCTAGGATTAGGGTGACAGGCAGTATCTCTATGTCAGATTATTTTCAGGGTTTTAATAATACTATCATTGGTTTTCAAATTTGATTCTATTTTCAAATTTCTTGTAGGCTGTTTTAGAAAAAGCAAGAGGCAATAATGCTCCCACTAAAATTTTGTTAAGTATGAGTTATATAAGGTGTTCTATTTAAATATAATTTTTCACTGTTCTACCATAGAGATCCATTCATTTAAAAACCAGGAATCTGTCGGGAATGGTGGCACTCACGCTAACCCCAGAGGGTGGGAGGCAGAGGCAAGTGGATTTCAGTAATTTTGAGATCACACTGGTCTACACACCAAGTCCCAGGCCAGAACTACACAGTGAGACCCTGTCTCAAAACACCAAATAAAACAAAACAACAACAAAAATCCTAGGAATTTACACATCATTCATTTGATTAAATAATTTAAAACTATCTAGGTTAGTTTCCCCTTCATATTAGCATGGCTTCATAATATCTTAGATTTTGTTACATTAAGAACAAACTACACAAAAGTCAAAGAATCGGTAAGTACACTTTGCTTTGGAATAGCAGCATTTTCTTAAGCTCCATTTTGAATACTTGTTTCATTTTGTAAACACACCATTTTCTCACAGCCATCTTACCCAGTGTCCTCCATTAACGCCAGAGTGATTCGAGAGAGCACTCGGTTCTGGGTGTGAGAACCGGTCATGGCTTCATTCTGAAAATCATCAACAGATGCTGTTAGACGATGACTCTCGGACCCCTACGCATATTTAAATGTTTCATGTGGTTAAATGTTTACTAGGAAATGGTCAAATACAAACGCTTTCTGAGTACCTAGGGTGAGGTGGTAGAATCTACTCTGCCTCAGGTCTCCAACAGTCTGATGTCCCCACAGGGACAGACAACCAGTTAGTGACGACACGGATGGACTGAGGAACACGACTATAAAGTGTATACTCCCTAAGCAAGTCAAGTGAATCAGTGGTTGAATATTTACCTGGATTTGCAAAGAAAAAGCTTTCCTAACAAGCATGGCAGAACCAGGGGATCAAAGGATTAGGGCAAATACCCAGTTGTCCAGTAGTTTAATTTCCATCCTCTGAGTCCTACCCGGAAGCCACACGCTGGTGAGGGCTCCGGGCCCCACAGGCAGCAATCCTCACGGCTGGGCCACTCTAGCCGTCCTCTGAGTCTCTACAAGACACTGGGTGTTCTTTCCCCATACCTTAACATCAACCTTTACTACAACAGTCCCGGGATACACTGCTTATTTAAGAGAAAACAAAGAAGCTAATAAAATTGGTATTCTCAGGTCTGCTACATAAAATTTAATTTCTGGCGAGTCTATAGCTTCCAAGGAAATCACTTAAGAAAATTCCTTAAGGAAACCACAAAAACAGAAATTCCCACGGGAAGAATGAGGGTATTCGCTTTCATAAATGTTCACCATTGTTACTCTCTGGTGACCTAGATCACAGCAGCTGAGCACAAGCAAACATTCTTGCTAAGTGTCTGACCTTCCTTCAGTCACGAGCTGTTTGCTGAAACTACCTAAACCGATCTCTAAGAAGAACTAGAGATACATTCTTCTACCCAAGGCTTTCACTTCAGTGTTAATTCCACCTCCAGATTCTTCCTATATAAACCAATGTGACCTGGGATTAACTTTCTGGCTCTATTCCCCAGAAACCTAATAAAGATAGGCCGTTACCTGGCAACAGTGTGTAAGGCGAAAAGGCCTGCTGATGGACCTCTGGGCTGGGGACTACTATAAATGAACACGGATACCCATTAGGAAGCCACAGTTTGGGATGTCACTGTGTAAAGTGACAATGGGTGTGTCCCTTATGGAGTCTGAAAGGTTACAGCTCCTGTTTGGGTCACAGTATTCTTAAGCCAACCCATATCTTACATCCATCTGAGGGAGAGTTTTGTGTCCTGTACTGCAGCTGGAGGAGCCGGGCACTGCTGACAGCCTGCTGGGTGTGACACAAGAAAAATGCCCGATCCCGCTCTGCTGGCATGCTGTATGTGCCAATGCCCTTCTACAGAACTGCCCTAGCTGGCCTGGAACTCATTACATGGAACAGGGTAGCCTCGAACTCACAGAGATCCACCTGCCTCTGCCTCCTAAGTGCTGGAACTAAAGGTGTGGGCCCCCATGCCCAGCTTACAACTTTTTTTTTTTATATGAAAATTTAGGAGTAGGGATGTATCTCAGAAATAAAACAATTGCCAAGTATGCACAAGACTGTGGATTCAACTCCCAGTACTACAAAAGCAAAAGCAACAGTTTTTTAGTCTGGCGTGCTGTACTCATCTGTAATCCATCCCAGCATTCAGAAGCCAAGAGGCAGAGGCAAGAGGGTTGCAGTAAGTTCAAGGCCAGCCTTGGACTACATTGTCATATATATATATATATATATGTATATATATATATATATATATATATATATATATATATATATACATATATATATATATATAAACAATATATATATTGTTTAAAACATAACGTTCATTAACACAGGCTTGTTTAATTTATATAATACAATATTGTGCAGCCCTTAAAAATTAGGGGATCCAAGTGTGTAGTCTATGCTACTAATGTATGTTTCACCTCCTTACTTCATAGCCTGTTTGAATAATCTCTATTCTAAAGTAATTTTAGAATTACTTTAGCTTGATTTACTTTAGTAAATTCATTTTACTTCCAGATTCTCTCTATATAAACGGATGTGTTTATACAGAAACACATTACATAAAATTGGATTAAGTGCCTGAATTCCGTTGGTAAAAACAAACGGAGCAGAACTGAACAGACCTCTAGCAGCCTCTTCTCCCAGTGGTTGAGCTCAGTGCCCATGCCGCCTTGATTTTCAAGCTCCATCCCCTCGAGAACGGGACAGTCAAAATGCTTCCGGGCTTCTTCCTGAGAACCAGAGACACAAACACCACAAGAGCACAGTAAGACGGCCGCACTCCTTATCACGTGGTATGACAAAGTGGTACGAAAGAATCGGTTTCTGAAACAGAACCTCTTTAAAATATGATTTTAATATAGTTAAATATTTCGACACTGTCACATTCTTCTTGGCTAGAAAACTATCCTTTCTCTTGTGCATTTTGCAATTAAGGTTTTTGTTTTCTTGCAGTTATATTCTTCTGTATTTTTACAGTAACTTCTTAGCAGACATGATTTGCAAACACTTTGTCCCAACCCAAAGGCTCTGTTCACCCCGCCAACTGCATCCCAATAGTGTACAGCTCGTTCTTTTCCATTTTTATGTCTTTTCAAACAACTTAATGGTTCTTTTGATGATGGCTGTCTGACATTACTTAGAAACATCACAGCAATGATTGTTTTTTCTTGATTTTTAGTCTTCAATAATTATAACAAGGGATTTCGTATATGGCACTGCCATCAAACCAGGACTGCATTTGTATCCATCACTCCCGGATTGTTGGAACAATGACACCCTCCAAATGGCCATATCTCCTCTGCCATCATATCCGGTGACCCTTGGTCACCTCCACCTCATATTCTTTGATAGAACACACACACAAAACCATACACAGTGAAAACGACAAATTCTTTCCCACACCAGGTGCTGGCAGCAGAGAGCAACTCTTACTCAGCGTGTGTTCTCTGGGCCGTCTTGAAACGCCAGCTCACTGAAGGAGCCGTTCGGCTTGAGGGGATGGACGGGCTTTAGAGCCCTCTCCAACAGAGCAGGCCTCTGCCATGCCCTCTTTCTTCCCTGTGTTTAGGTATGCGTCCAAGGAAGGGCAAATGGAGATGTGAGTGAGCTGAACCCAGAGGCCCCATGCGCCTCCTTCTTATTTTTATTTATGAGTGTTCGGTCTGCACGTCTGTGTACCACACATGCCTGCTGTCCACAGAAGCCAGAAAGGGTCTGGAGCTCTGGGACTGGAGGTGTGGACAGCTGTGAGCCGCCATGTGGCTGCTGAGACTCAAACCCGGGGCCTCTGTAGGAATAGCAAGTGCTCTTAACCATTAGCCACTGCCCCAGTCCCAGCCATTGCTGCTGCTGCTTCTTTTTTTTTCTGTTCAAATAACCTTGTGTGGTACACGTACATGATCCGGTGTGTGCCTGTGCATGTGGGAGCCAGAAGTCAGTACCTGGTACATCCCTTAAACATTCTCCACCTTATTTTTAAATTACATCTATCTGTCAGTGTGCCCGCTAATCCATTGTGCTCGGCTGGCTGGCCAATCACCTGAGCTCTGGAGATCTGCCTATCTCTACTCCTCCACCAATTTCTGGGGGCACAGACAAGCACTAGCCGTTCTTGGTATTTTTTTTTTTTTTACCATGGGGGTGCTGGGGATCTGAACTCAGGTCCTCATGTCTGTGTGGCAGGAACTTTTACAGACAGAGCCGTCTCCCTGGCCCACATATAACGTTGAATAATGCTGCTTCCCCTAGGCGCAAGCACCTCTCATCTCCTGCCTTAAAGCAGCGGGCTGGGTGGGGATGCACTGCCACATTTCTGTTTCCTCCCCTCTGTCTTGGCTTGTTGCTTTATTCAATTGTCTTCCTACATTTTCTATTACGGACTGAAAATGAAACACACATTCTTAAACAGGAATGATCAGTAAAGCAAGGACCACGAGGAAAACAGACCAGAAGAAGTTCAGTATACTCACGACAACCCGCGGTGTCACCAGCAGGTACACAGTGTGGCGGACTAGCTGATTATTTCGCACATTCCACAATCTCTCCACTTTTCGAACTACTTTATCACTCCACTGATACAATCCAAGACTGTAATTACAGAATAAAAAACAGCCGTTTGCCAATTTACTACAACTGCAAATGTAAGAATACTCATAAATAACAATATGAAATTGAAATACTTGAGAGTTTATTATGTATCATATCCATGTAATGTACTTCTAAGTATTTTATTTTCTTTCTTGAGACGGGATCTCACTATGTAGCCTTAGCTGGCCTGGCACCCACTGTGTAGACCAGGCTAGCACTGACCTCACAGAGATCCGCCCATCTTTGCCTCCCAAGTACTTCAGCTGCAGGCTTGTACCACCACACCCAGGCTCATAAGGATTTTCTAACCGTTCTCTTGTGGGTAAAAAGGCAGAGGCTTAGGGAGATGAAATAACTTGTTCAAGTTTACACAGTAATACTGAGCTGGGCCAGCAATGAATTAACGACATCGTTTGCCCCTTTGACTTGCTAGAGACCCAGCCCAGGACGGTGAAGATGCTAGGCATGCACTTGGCCATGACTAGACCCCAGCCTCAGGGGCTTCTTCTGACAAGACTACTGCATTTAAAGGAAAGGAAAAAAGGAGAGGAGCAGGAGGAGGGGAAAGAGGAGGGAGGAGGAGCAGGAGGAGGGGCAGGAGGGGGGAGGGGGAGGGGAAGGGCGAGGAGGGGGGAGGAGAGGAAAGAGGAGGAGGAAGAGGAAAATAAAGAAACCAAAGCAGAGACAGACCCAAGAATATAAGGAAACAACAAAAAATGTTGCCATATTAGTGAAAAAAAAAAAGACTTAATTATTGTGCACTGAAACTGCTTATCCACCAAGAAAAAAAATTATTTCATGTCTCTACAAAATTAAATTGTAGAAAGTCCTCAGGAAAATGGCAGAGTAAATGTCTCTGGAAACTCTGGCATGAAATCCCTAAGAACTTGGCCAAGTCAACTTTCCCAGAGCCCTGGAAATAAGCAAAGAGCTGCATCGATTTGAGAAGCCTTTATTCATGAAAGATGGATGAGCTTCATGAAAAGCTGCCAGCTCTGGGTTCCCATCCCCATCTACCATTTCAAGGCCACTGTGAACACCAATAACCGTGGCGGTGGTAGCAAAGCGGATCTTTAAAAATGCACGGTTCACTTCTCGAGCCCAAGAAATGCTGTTTAGCTCCGAGGACACAAGTAGATGGAAGCAATTTAAAGGATGCCTATGGAACTGACTCTGAAGAGGACTGTAGTGGTTATAGTCACAGCAGAGGAAAGAGATGTGAAATAAAGTCACTGTTGGAGACAAGACTACCCAACAACGATAGAGGGGCTTTTAAAGGAACTGAAAACACAGCCATCACGACCAAATGCCAGGCTACAGATGCAGCTGGATGCAGCTTGACTGGTACTCAGCTTGAGCTGGGTTTGGTCCCGAGTGTCAGGTAAACCGGCTGTGGTGGCCCACACCTATACCATGGAATTCAAGCTTATCTTTAGCTACATATAAGTTGGAAGCTAGCCAGACAGATTAGGCCCATCTCAGGGGGGAAAATCCAGTCCTTTTATATTTATTGCAAAACATACCTGTTTATCTACTTCCAATTTCAAGATTTTTTTTTTTTTTTTTTTGGAAGAGACACTATATTTTGGACTATGATTTAAAAATGGATACAGTCCATTGGGTGAGAAAGTCATGGTAACAGGAGTGTGAGGCAGCTGGGCACCTTGCATTTGCCCTGTGGGGAGCAAGACCAACGCGAGACTATATCAGAGGCCCCATGAAAGGACAAAGGGAATATTAGTTCTGTGTCCTTGCTCAGGAGTGGACAAGAGAAGGCCAGTCTAGGGCTAAAGCCAGTGCCTCCCGGGAGTCAAGGATGCCATTTCTGGGGACCTGCCTCTCCTCACAGGCAGTGGTCGTCAGTCCCGAGGCAGCTGGAGCTGAGGTGCCCTGTGTTCTCTGTCAACACTGTCTTAGCTCTCTGCTGACCTTGGCCATTTCCTCCCACAATTGTCTAAATGATGCTATTGTTCTTAATAAACTTGCCTTGCATAAGTCATCGGTTTATGTGAGACCTCCTGGTCCCAGCTAATGTTTCCTCCTCTTTATTTCTCAACCCTGGTCCTCCCACTCAATACCTCGCTGTTCAGGACCCTTATTCCTATGGGGGGGGGGCATGCTGCATTAATTCACTTTATTTTTATTTATCTTTGGAAGACAATGTTTAAACACAGTGAATGAAGCCAACAAGAAAATAAACAGTTTTTAGTTCATTAATCAACCAACATTCTGTTCTCCATTCACCCTTCTAGAATAACAGTTTCTCTCAAACCTTACTCCCTTTCGTTTGGCTTTGATTTTGCCTGTTTGTTTGTTTGCCTGCTTTTTTAATCAGGGTCTCATATAGCAGAGGCTGGCCTTGAACTTGCTATGTAGCAGAGGCTGGCCTTGAGCTCCTGATCCAACTGCCCCAGCCACCCAAATTCTGGGATCACAGGTGTAAACCACCAAGCCCAGCACAGGAATGGTTTCTCCAAACAGGCTAGAGCCGAACCCAGTTCTTCATGCCTAACAGCTGAATTTATTGCTCTAGTATCTCCATTTATACTGGAAGATTTTACAAGGCATCAGCTTCCCTTGAGCCCTGACATACATCACTCTGCCACTCCATAGATTATGCAAATCTCATCATTTACATTTTCCATCAGGACCAGCGTTCTTTTCAAAGATCAGACTTCTTCCACACTACCAAACAAAAGGTACAGTCTAGGAAAAACATCCATTTATACATTAACATTTTGTTTCTTTAGTTCTTTGAGATGAGGTCTCATGTAACCCAGAATTGAGGCTAGCCTTGAACTTCTTCTGATCCTCCTGCCTCCACCTCCCAAGTGCTGAGATTGCAGGTATGGGCCACTACCACTGCCTAGAATTTTGTACTAGAAATAAAAATATTAGAAATAAACCTATTTATTAACCTATGCCTTTAATATCAGCACTCGGGAGGCAGAGGCTAGTGGATCTATGAGTTTGAGGCCAGCCTGGTCTACAGAGTGAGTTCCAAGACAGCCAGGGCTACATAGAGAAATCCTGTCTCAAAAAAACAAAACAACAACAACAAAAACCAATTAGAAATAAACAACAAATACATACTAAATAAATAGTATGAACTATTTAATGGAGAACTTTGTAATTAGAGCAAAATATACATACAGCAAATAATATAAGGATTAATTACATTTTTTATGCTTTTTATTTATGTGCTAGTATGTGTCTATATGCGTGTATGCTACTTAGTGCAGGTGCCCAGAGAGACCAGAGGAGGGGTCAGATCCTCTGGACCTCAAGTTACAAGCAGTTATGGGCCTCTGGATATGGGTGCTTGTAATAAAACCCAGGTCCTCTGGAAGAGCAGCAAGTGTTCTTAACTGCTGAGCCGTCTCTCCAGCCCCAAGTGTTAATTTTTTAAATTCAAAGTGTATTATTATTATTAGTGTATCTGTATATCACTTTATGTACGCATGTGTGTTTGTATTATGTGTTACAGATGTGTTTGCTAGGCTTGTACCACCAGCACTTCCCACTGAGCCATCCTGCCAGCCCCAGATGACCCCATGTCAGGACCCGGGAAGGTGTCCCTGTGACACTGTTCATTCAGGAGCTCCTTGACAGCAGCTAGTAGACCACTCCCTAAAGTAAAGCACTGTCTTCTCCTATGGCCAGTATGTGATTCCCACACGAACGGACTACTGGAGCTCTTCGGCTTCATGCCTGAGTGGTTCATCCACGTTTCTGCATACAGCAAAGGCGTAATTTGGTTTTTGCTGGTGCCGGGACTGAACCCGTGACCTCATGTGCACATGTTCTACTATTGACCTACACCCCAGCCAATAGTGCGCTCTTTTTTTAGTATTATGTAGTTTTCAGTTTTATGAACACATTATAATCTACTTATATAACCTAATATTGATAGAGTTTGAGGTGGTTTATATTATGTGGCTGTTAATAATAAAACTGTCATGAATATTTTCATGTGTTATTATGGATATGTGCCTTTATTTTAGGTATTTATTTTTATATACATATATATTGATGGTTATTGTTCTGTGACTGGTATTTTCTACTGATAAACTGTTTTCAGCATTTCTTAGCATTGCTTATTGTAGGCCCTGAACCTCTTAAAACATTGCTAATTTAGTAGCTAAATAAATAAAACTCCAAATGCAGCTACTCCATGCTTCCCCACAGCCTAACTCTACTGTAAAGTAAAACGCATTATAGGACGGTGGGAAGAGCCCTGAGCGGGACGGGTGTCCTGGTCCTCTGAGCAAGCCATCTCTTAAAGCCCACCTTGTCTTTGTATCTAAAGTTCCTTTAGGTTGGCGTCGAAGTCACTGTCATTCATGGCATGGACAGCGCTGTGACTCCCAGGTTCTAGTCTTAGCACCCTCTAAGAACAAGAATAAAAATAGCAAGTACCTATAGTTGAAAGGCGGGAGGCCGTCTGCAGACCGTGATGTCAGGGGAGTCCCATCTTGGTCGTGGTAGAATGCAAAAAGCCCAGCAGAGAAGCCCTGGAAGAAGAATTCAAAGCGTCCTACAGTAGAATGTGAAGTCTGAGCACAGGCAGTGGCATCCGCCATCAAGGAGGTGATGACATCAGCCACAAGGGTGCCACGCAGCTCGGCAGACCCCAACTCAACAGCGAGTAAGAGAGCTGCATTTACGGTTTAAAACACTGAACTACTTGCTGTAAACATCACAAAGATTATTTTTATTTTCACTCATGTGCATCTGTCTTTGTGAACATATCCATGTCTGTGTGGGTGCTCTCAGGGGCCAGAAGAGGGCGCTAGATGCCGTGGAGCTGGAGTTAGGGGTGGTTGCAATCTGCCCCACATGGGTGTTAGGAACTGAAGTCGGCTCTTCTGAAAAAGCAGTATGTATTCTTAGGGTCAGCTCTCCAGCCCGCCGACGAAAATGCTTTCATACAAGATTTTCTAAAGTACATTACGTATTTTAAACTTGCATTCGGGCTATACATACAAATGCTATGTTATCATGATACCTCCAGGCACATACTACAGAGCACGGGGAATTATACTTTTTAATTCATCTGTGTGGTTTTACAGATATTTTAGCATTTTTCCTTGTTAGAGACCCTATCATGTCTCATTTCCAAATGTGGAACAAAAGCTGAAAAATCCAAAACTGGCACAGTGAATCGCAGGACCAACCCCCTACCACATCAGTGGCCTTTGTTTATAAATATCAGACTCAAAGAGAGGAAAACATAAGAAAAAGTTGTTATCCACTTTATACTAAACACAACCTAAGGCACCATGGACAATAATAACAAGGACATCTTTGCGCTACCTTCTTCACCCCAATCTACTAGGTGCCAAAACGGCAGCTACTATACTGAAAACGATCAACAATACTGAATGGTGTAGGGAACTGGGGATCAAGTATATTCCTAATTGCATCTATAAAAGATCAACGTCTAAGCCTCAAATTGGCACTAATTCCACTTATCTGTGTGTGTGTGTGTGTGTGTGTGTGTGTGTGTGTGTGTGTGTGTGTGAGAGAGAGAGAGAGAGAGAGAGAGAGAGAGAGACAGTCAGCTAGGCATGTAGCCAGTTGGCGGAATGGCTGGCTAGTGTGCGTGAAGCCCTGGACTTAAGTCCCGGCACTGCATACACCGACTGGGTACGGTAGCACACGCTTGTAATCATGGCCTCAACCTTACAGCAATCCTCCTGCCTTCGTATCTCAAATGTTGGAATTACAGGTCTCAGCCACCACCTCTGGCCCTAAGATGCTTCTCTTCAGAAGTCAAACATCTCTTCAAAAGTCCTACTTACCCAGTGGAAATGTTTGTTTAATTATAATTATACCAGATAGCAAAACTCAATCTACCATCCTGACCATTACACATTCTTATTGACAGAAACATAATTAACCAGGTTTTGCCAACATGGACCTAAGGATTCACATACCATTTAAAACATGTATTAAGACAACAGAATAGCCAACAAGTCAAGGGTCTGAAGGGAAGGACAGAAGCTGATGTCATTTACCAGGGCATGGATGATCTCATGTTTCACTGTGGACAGCATCCCAATGAACTCTTGCGGTTGGGTGGAGATCATATTTGGACACAGGTTAGCATATCCTGCTATCGGCCTGTTAAAATAAACATGACATTTCTCACTGTATTCCAGAGTAGTATTTACAATATTTGCTAACCTACACTTCTCTATGAAAGACAGCCCAGGAACATTGTTTACTATCAAGTACAATTTTATAGCTAAGTCTAACTCTTTCTACTGTCAGGACCCACACATACCCTTTGCTTTCCAATGGCATGGAAAAGCAAGAGTTGTTCTTGGGGGCTCCATGGGGGCTTCACAGGGCTCAGCACCCCGAGTAATTACCACCATGAACCCCGCTGTCGTTCCAAGCTGTGGCAAATAGACAATGTGACGGAATCCAAACTGTTCCCTCTACACTCGCTTCAACAGTTTACTGTGGAAATACCATAAATCCCACTAAGTTCTAGCTGCCTGTTTATAATAAGCATGTGTCCTATTGAAATAAATAGCTGGAACCGCAGGCCTTGTTTAAAGGAGCCTCTGGCAGGAACATATCCACAGGGCTTTTCTCTAACATGAACTTCCAACCCCTCCACCTCTCTTTCTTCCTTGTTTTCTGGCTGAACTGAGGGCCTCACACATGCTAAGCAAGCACCCTGCCACTAAGCTACATCCCCACCATTTATTTTCTTCCATTTTGATACAGGATCTTGCTAAAATTGCCTATGCTAACCCAGGCATGGTACTACATGCCTGTACTTCTAGCACTTGGGAAGCAGAAGCAGGAGGATCACTTTGAGTTCAAGGCCAGCCTGGAATCTACATGGTGAGTTTCATGGCAGCCAGGACTACACAGCAAGATGCTTTCAAAAACAAACAAACAACAACAAACTAGCCTTAAACTTTGAATTTGCCTGAACCAGCCTTCCAAGCAGCCAAGATTGCAAGCATGCACCTCTCTCCACTGCAGAGGGTCCCCTACCTCCTTATTCAGTTAAAGCCTATCACTGCTCAGGCTGCAGCTAAAATTTTACCTCTTCAAAAGAGGTAGATCTTCCTTCCCAAATCAAGTGAAATGATATTCCTTGTAATTCTTTCCCTTTCTTCTATGCTACAGGATCCTGAATGAAGTATGTACCACATTTTCAAACAGCATGCTTCCTTGTAGGTCTAGTTAGCCATTATTTGTCTCCTTATACAATCTGTAAACAGCAGGAGGCGAGCACACAGGTCTGTTTTGTTTACCTTCTTTGCTGGCAGTATAATCAGAGAGTCATGGGCACGCAGTCACACAATATGGAGCTCTCTAGACTCGGAATAACTGCTTGGCTGTGGCGAACATGCCTTTGTAATCTCCGCACTTGGGAGTGAGGGGCAGGAGGATAAGGAATTCAAGGTCTTCCTCGGTCAAGCCCTACAGTGAATGAGTTCCAGGTCAGGCTGGACTACAGGAGACCGTATCTCCTGGGGTGGGGGCAGAACTACAGATAGGGTGCTGCCCTTTGTTCCACATCAACATTCTCAAAAGAAACCACACTCTCCCCTGGTGTGATCAGTTCCACAGTCACTGGTACAAAGACCATTTATTCTTTTGCCTATTCATCCATACCAAATGTGAACCAAACATTAAAATGCCACAACAAATAAAGAGCAGTGTAACAAAATGAAAGACCCCTCTCAGTTACAGTACTCATCTGTCTGACTCCTACACCTGATCCTCTCAGCAGATCCAGTAGATGCTTTCAGCATCATGAGACACAAAATGAGATAAGCAATGTAGATTCGGTCAACCTGGGATTTCTATATCCTTCCCCTCACTCATCCAGGCAAGCCACCTTGATCTTATAAAGCTTAACACAGCTTTTATAAACATTTTTAAAAGCTCACAGTATAAAAAGAATATGCTCAAAGGATGTAGAAATCTATACAGGGCTGGAGAGATGGCTCAGCACTTGAGAGCATGAGCTGTTCTTCAAGGGAACCTCGTTCAATTCCCAGCACCCACATGGCGGCCCATAACTTGTCTGTAACTCTGCAGCCACACGGCAAAAAAGTGGTGCCGAGACATATATGCAAACAAAACACCCAATACATAAAATAAAAACAAACCTTTTCCTGAAAAGAAATACATAAAGAAGAGAGTGAAAATGTCCTCGTTACCCCCTCCCCCACCCCCACCCCGCCTCTTCTTATGTCCAACATCAGAGGCAACTACTACTGTCAACGATACTGTGTATGCTATTTTCTTTTCTTCTCTTTTTTTTTTTTTTTTTCCCCAGACAGGGTTTCTCTGTGTAGTTTTGGTGCCTGTCCTGGATCTCACTCTGTAGCCCAGGCTGGCCTCGAACTCACAGAGATCCGCCTGGCTCTGCCTCCCGAGTGCTGGGATTAAAGGCGTGAGCCACCACTGCCTGGCCGGTGTATTCTATTTTCAAGCCATTTTAGTTTGCCCAAAACTTAACAGTTTTCTCTGTCTCCTCTAACATGGGACATTCAGTGCTATAGCCAGGACAACCCTAAACAAACTGGGATGATTGGAAATTCCATCTTTCTGAGTTTTTTTCTTAGAACATCCAAATATACATAGGTACTGTTTTTTGCAATGTTCTTTCAACGCTTTATATAAAAAGTGTGATTTTGTGTGTATGCAATCGATACAGTTTAGTTCAAATTGAGGAAAAGAACTATGATTTTGTAGCACTAACAAGTCAAAGTGTATTTCTCAAAAATAGTCCAGTGCCAGGAGGTGGTGGCACATGCCTTTGATAACAGCACTTGGGAGGTAGAGGCAGGTAGATCTCTGGGAGTTGAAGGCCAGCCTGGTCTACAGAGTAAGATCCAGGAGTTGAAGTTCCAGGAATTACAGGCATGCACCACCACCCTCTGGCTAAGTTTACCTTTATTATTTTTAGAGTTCTTTGTTTTTTATTTTATGTGTGAGTGTTCTGCCTGCATGTATATATATGCACATGTGTGCCTGGTGTCTGTAGAGGTCTAAAGTTATCTGATCTTGTAGAACTGGAGTTAGGGATGGTTGTGAACCACCATGTGGGTGCTAGGAACTGAACCTGTGTCCTCTGCAAGAACAAGAGCTCTTGATCACCGAGGCATCGCTCCAGACCCTATATTTTCTAATTTGATGTAGATGTATCTGAGTGTGGGGTTTGTGCACCTGAGTGCAGTACTCCCGGCGGACAGAAGAGGGCATCAGGTCCCTTTGGAACTAGAGGGTCACACACAGGCAGCTGCTGTGAGTTGGCCTGGTGCTGGTGCTGGAGACGGAACTGGAGCCCTTTGGGGAAGCAGCATATGCTCTCGCCACCCAGTCATATCTCCAGCCCCCTTAACTTATGTTTGCTGGGTTCTCTGTAACAGCAGTGAGAAGAAACAGTCACACCACAGTGACCCACTGCTTTGCACAACACATGCTTACTTCTTCAGGTCCCTCAGGAACCTGGAAGCACACGTCTGTAATCCCAGCACTCTGGAAGCTAAGGCAAGAGGATCACTGAAAGTTCAAGGCCAACCAGAGGCTACTTAGCAATACCCCAGCTCAAAAATAAATGCATACATAAATATAAGAAAGAAAGAAAAGATAAACAACCCTCTAACGTCACTGAGTCTTGACAGGTAGATGCAACGGTCATGGATGCACATGAATCCAACATGGTAACTTCTGAATGTCACACTGTAACACTCTTAAGTCTGTGGCTCTCAACCTCCCTAACGCTGTGACCCTTTAATACAGTTCCTCATGTTGCTGTGGCCCCCAACCAGAAAATTATTTTCATTGCTACTTCATAACTACAATTTTGCTGTTATGAATTGTAAATATTTTTGGAGCTGGAGGTTTACGAGAGGGGTTGAGACCCACAGGCTGAGAATCACTGCTCTAAGTCCTGTGAGAGTTACTACTTCCTGTAACTAGTTTTCTGGTGTGTGACAGGCAATCTTTTGCACAAATAATACAAATAAAATACTTGAATATTCTTATATTCTTACAGCATAAGATGTTAAAGGTAAAATTTAAAGTCCAATTGTTTCTTTGAGAGGAATTAAATGAAAATAAAATTATCACTTTTGTGTGTGTGTGTGTGTGTGTGTGTGTGTGTGTGTGTGTTTAATGAAAAATTCTCTTTCTCTTTCTCTCTTTTTTTAAGTTTTTCGAGACAGAGTTTCTCTGTGTGGCTTTGCGCCTTTCCTGGAACTTACTTGGTAGCCCAGGCTGGCCTCGAACTCACAGATATCCGCCTGGCTCTGCCTCCCGAGTGCTGGGATTAAAGGCGTGCGCCACCACCGCCAGCAAGAAATTCTCTCTTGATAGTAGATTTTTTTTTTCTTGGAGTTTTTGGGGGAACATTTTTTTTTTTTTTTTTAAGGCAAAGAGAGCCTGAGAGATGGTTCAGCAGTTAAGAGCAATGACTGCTCTTCCAGAGAACCCAGGATTGATTCCCAGCACCCACATGGTGGCTCACAATTGCCTGTGACTCCAATTTCAGGGAATCCTCCTCAAGCGCGCGCGCGCGCGCACACACACACACACACACACACACACACACACACACACACACACAAAACCTCTTCAGGTACACATACATACCGACAAAGAATAATAATTTTTTTTTTTTAAGAAAAGAGGAAAAGGTCAAAGGAAGTTTTTTACTTTCTTTCCTCTAACAACTTATTTCTTAATCCTAGAAGCGACTGAGCAGATGCACTAAAGCATTCTGGGAAGCAGCCTCAGAGGGAAGCTTACCTGTCCATTTTCGCCTCCTGCTGACAATAGGCTGCATAGGAGATGATGTTTTCATGGCTGCATCTCTCAGTGGCCAGCGCGCCGACGTAGAGAACGAAGTCTGCATCCTGCACGCCCTCGTGGTCCAGAGCACCCACGGCTCCGCAGGGCCACTGGCCCTCTCGGCAGACCCTGCATTGCTGGGCACAGGTGGACAGAAGGCAGACACTGAGTCAGCCGAGCAACACCATCAGGCCACTACAGACTGGAGATATACATTACTTGACTCTCACTTATCCCCCCAAACTCTCACCCAAATCCGGAAGTGGACAGACATGCGTTGCAGACCTACAGTCCCTGTACTCGGGAGGCTGAGGCAGGAGGAGCCCTTGAACCCATTACCAAACAAAGAGGCAAGATTTCTAGTTCATAAACAAAACAAAATAAGGACCACAAATCCCATCTCTTTTTCTCTGTTCTATTCTTACCTCTTCTGAATTTATTTCACTAAAATTTTTACTTGATTCAATTGATCATAAATGTATACTCAAAGAAAGCAAATGACGGCCATTTATAAAGGTCAGCAAACTAGGATGCAGAGAAAAAGAAACAGAAATGGAAAAAAAAA